GTTTTATGGTTCATATACCTTTATAGGAATTACAGTAGTCAGGGTATATGACCCCCAATTTTAGGGTTCATTTCGTCCCCAAGGTACGACCCACGTTGGCGCAAGCGTCTCGATTAGCTGCGAGGACGGCACGCTGGCTCCTTGGGGACGAGAATTCAAGGGTTTAGGGTTCATAGTACCTTAGTAGGAGTTATATTGTCGTATGGGGTATAGTAGTTTGGGGGCATATGGCCCCAAATTTTCGGGGTTCATAATTTGCCCCCAAGGTTTTTTAGGATTCTCAGTTATTAATAGGAGTTTTAGCCGTATAGGGTAGATGGCCCCCCCAAGTTTAGGGGCTCCTACTTTTTCAAGGTTGGTGGCAAACTGCCGAGCTGCGAGCCGCTGAGATGCTCCCTGCAGACGGATCTCCTGGCCCCCGGCATCGACTTCCAGGACTGCATTGGGGTCGAGTGCCTTGGCGCGCAATGGGGAGGAATTCTGAACCCTAAAGAATTTGTGGTTCAGAGTGGGAGAGTGGCATATATACCCTAAGTGAGGCTCTAAGAGGGTTTGTGGCTCATGCTACCTTAATGGAATTATAGTAGTCAGGGTATATCTTGGCCAAAAGGGGGCTACATGTAGAAGCGTTTATGGTTCATACTACCTCAATAGGAATTATAGTAACTTAGTAGTCAGGGTATATGACCCCAACTTTAGGGTCATAATCGGTCCTCAAGGTACAACAAAAACTGCACTTTGCGGTGCCCCCGTGGATACGAGCTCATCGGGCAGGCAGAACCTTGGGGACGAATTATGAACCCCAAAACGGCTTGGAGTGTCAGGAATTAACAAAAAGTCAGGGTATATGACCCCAACTTTAGGGTTCATATCATACCTTCGTCTAGGGCATATGACCCCAATTTCAGGGTTCCGAATTGCTCCCCAAGGAACTTCAGTGCTCGGAGTTTGGCCTGGTCGGCAATCTTGACCAACGCTGCCAGGCCAGGAAGTGCCCGGCTCTGGCAGATGGGTGTCTAGGTGGGGCCTTTGGGACATTGTTGTATTTAGGGTTTAGTGTTTAGGGTTTAGGGTTTCGGGTTTAGGGTTTCGGGTTTAGGGTTTAGGGTTGAGGGTTCAGGGTTCAGGGTTTAGGGCTTCGGGCTTAGGGTTTTCTCCTATGGGGCTTAAGAGGACAATATCTAGGTAGCCCTTTTGGGACACTGTTTTGTTGTCCCTTGTGGGGTTGAAGAGGATCATGTTCAGGAGTGTTTTTTGAGAGGGCTTTAAGGCTTAGTAGTAGAGTAGGTAACCTTTAACCTTTTTGGGTTAGTATATTCCCCTTAGAATCCCAAAGGTTAACCTTTAAAACCCCTAGGTACTGGACAACTAAGAAGGGCCATCCTAGGTATTGGGCGGAGGGCGATCAAGTGCTGTCCCGCTATGCGGGGCAAGGGTACTCGAACTGGTACTGTGGTGCCGGTGAACGCGAACGAAGCTGGGCTTTGGAGTACTATTACTTATTACTATTTTTGGTTTCTGGGTTCCTATTTTTAGCTACTTATACCAAAAAATTGTAGACTTTTTTTTTCCAGGGTCTACTCCAAAGCTAAGGAAGTGTGGGGGATGTCTGCACAGTGAGCTGCAGCCGGGGCTACGAGATGAGAGGCAGCCCCGTGGCGCTGACCTGCGGCGTGATGTCCCAAACCGATGACACCATCACCGGGTACCTTGGTAGCCCAGTGGTACCCTTTACCCTTTTTTTGGTTATGGTTCCCTCATAAAATAGCCAACCCAAAAAAGGGTGCCCTCATTATAATATGGTTACTGGGCTACCAAGGTACTGGGATATGGAGCAGGGAGTCCCTGCTGAGAACTCGACAACATTGGAATGTATCCCCCAGACTTGCCCGACACTCAACCTTCGGCGTGGTGTTCAGCACAATTGCTTCGGTCTGACGACGCTGTTCATAGCCAGTGGTACCGTGCCCTTTTGCTTTTTTTTTTTGTGGGGGGGGGGGGGGGGGGGGGTTCCGGGTTCCCTTATTATGGTAACCAACCACAGACAGGGCAACCTTATTGCAACATGGACCCTAAACCCTAAACCCTAAACCCTAAACCCTAAACCCTGAACCCTGAACCCTGAACCCTGAACCCTGCCAAGGACAGGGCAGAGCTGTACAGTCAGCGCAGAGGTCGGCTTCGAGATGCAGAGTTACACGTTGCGGTGCGAACCATGGGGCATGCTCAACGGACGCTTGGAGCTACCCGTGGTGCCCCTCCTCCCTTTTCTTGGGTGCAGGGTCCCTAAACCCTAAACCCTAAACCCTAAACCCTAAACCCTAAACCCTAAACCCTAAACCCTAAACTAAGCAACCCAGAAAAGAGCACACTATGATAAAGGGCTACTGGGCTACCTTCAGGACGTGAGAAGGAGGCCTGGGCAAGGCGATGTGATGACCCCATCATCGATCCCAATGTCATGGGCACCAACTGTGCCGGCGAAGTTTACCTAGACACGTGCAGCAAGTGCCTTGGGGACGAAGTATGAGCCCTAAAAGGGTTTTAAGGGTTCATGTTACCTGAATAGGACCAAAAGTAGTATAGGGTACGTGACCCCAATTTGAGGGTTCATTTCGTCCATAAGGTGGTGCCTGCCGGACAAAGGCTACGTGAAGGCTGCCAAGATGTACCGCTGCGACTTGACGGAGGATGGCAATGTCAGCATCCGGCCAACTTGGGGGGACGAACTCGCGTGCGTCCAAGAGTCCTCACGACTTTTGAGCGAGAAGGAGGAAGCTCGCCAACTCACGGCAGCCTGCGACCAGTCTTCCGCCACCAGTTTCGGCCTCGATGCAGTGGAGTTCACGCACACCTGTGACTCCGTGAACCACACCCAGACGTGCGTTGCCGACTGCAGCGACGGTTACAACTTGACCGGCGACCTAGCTTTTCTCACATGCAACAGCGGGATGCTCACCGGCAGCCTCCCAGCGTGTGAGCCACTTCCCTGCAAATACAAGGACTGACTGTTGGGCTAGTAGGGAACTGTCGTGCCCTATTTAATCCCTTAAAGGGTATACATACCCTAAACCCTCAACCCTAAACCCTAAACCCTAAACCCTCAACCCTCAGCCCTAAACCCTAAACCCTAAAGCCTAACCAGCAGCAAGAGGAGCCCCAGGCCTTGGGCCTCGAGCATAACTGCAGCAACCTGACGACGGGCGGTACCTTGGGGACCAAATGAACCCTAAAATTGGGGTCGGAAACCCTAGTAGTAGAGTAGATAACCTTTAACCTTTTTGGGTCAATAGAGTCCCCTTAAAATCCCAAAGGTGAACCTTTAAAACCCCTAGGTACTGGACAGGTAAGGAAACCCTTTTGGGGTGCATGTAGTCCTTAAGGTACCTGCGAAGCGACGTGCGCGCTGGGCTTCGATGGTACATCTGAGCCTTACCTTGGGGACGAGTTATGAACCCTAAAAGGGTTTAGGGTTCAGAGTTCCTTAATTTGGAATTCTAGTAGTCAGGGTATATGACCCCAATTTTGGGGTTCATTTCATCCCCAAGGTAGTAGTGGAGTAGGTAGCGTTTCACTTTATTGGTGTTTTACATACCTTGGGAACGAAATGAACCCTAAAAGGGTTTAGGGTTCATATACCTTAATAGGAGTTTGTAGGAGTACAGGGTATATGACCCCCAATTTTAGGGTTCATCTCGTCCCCAAGATATGCTACTTAGAATCTCAAAGGCACCTTTCCCCCCAAAAGGGCGCTGGACAACTAAGGAGCCCTTCAGGTGCGAAGCGACCGCTGAGTACAATGGGACCTTGCCCTCTTGCCAGCCGAAATCTTGCCAGGAAGGGTTTAGGGTTTAGGGTTTAGGGTTTAGGGTTTAGGGTTTAGGGTTTAGGGTTTAGGGTTTAGGGTTTAGGGTTTAGGGTTTAGGGTTTAGGGTTTAGGGGAAGGACCTGACCTTGGATGGCTTGGAGCCGAAGTACACGCACAACTGCCTGAATCTGACCTTTCATGAGAACCTTGGGGACTGGACAGTTAAGCTTTAACCCTTTTGGATATTATAGACGCCTATTGCAACCAAAACGGCTAAGCCTTTTTTGGGCTGGGGGTATCCAGTTCCTAAGGAACTGTGCTGTAGGCTGCGCGCAAGGCTGGACGATGCTTGGCGCGGCCTCCGTCTTCCAATGTGGCGCAGAGGGCGTCATCACTGGTGACCTTCCTCAGTGTGCCTTGGGGGCCGATTCTGAACCCCTATAGCTTGGGGGTCATCGACCCTGTACGGCTATAATTCCTCTTATAAGGTAATATGAACCATAAACCCCTTTTAGGGTTCACAATTCGTGCCCCAAGGTGTGGGAAAGCCATGCGATGTGACGCCCTTCTCCGTTGGGCCTCTGAGTGGCGAGGCGTGCGACAACCGGACGACAGGCATGCAGTGCAACGTGACCTGCAAGCCTGGCTACGGGCCCAACTCCACTCGGATGACATGCGATGAACCTCGGGGGCCAATTCTGAACCCGGAGGGGGACTTTCCGCCCCGACTCCGATTATCATTCCTCGTAAGGTATATATGAACCGCTTAAGCCCCTTTTAGGGTTCATCCTTCCTCCCCAAGGAAAGCAGCTTCTTCGTGGACACCTTTCCGCTCTGCGAGCCCGCGCCCTGCCCGCTAAACCCGCAGCTGCGGAGCCCCTCAGTGGCCCACGACTGCGAGGGGGTCGCCTTCGATGAGCCTTGGGGACGAGTTACGAACCCTAACAATGGGGTCATATGCCCTGATTACTATAATTCCTGGTCCTATTAAGGTCTATGAACCATAAACCCTTTCAGGGTTCAGTAAGTTTCCAAGGAGAGCTGCGGCGTCTCCTGCGCAGAAGGCTACGTGCTCGTAGGCGAGGTGGGTGAGGTCTGGAGATGCGATCTTCGCGGCTCCGCCTTGGAGCTGAATGGAAGTCTCCCAAACTGCAGACCACTGGCGTGCCCGACGATCAGCTCGATTGCTGGCATGGAAGACCCTTGGGGACAAACTATGAACCCTAAAAGGGTTTATGGTTCATATACCTTAATAGGAATTTTAGTAGTCGGGGTATATGACCCCCAATTGTTGGGTTCATTTCGTCTTGAAGGACAATTGCACGAACCTGGTTGCTGGAGAGTCCTGCCAGCAGACCTGCGCGCAAGGCTTCCTCCCAGCGAGCGGCTCCTCAGCCATTCACTTCGCCTGCGACCTGCAGGGCAACATCAACATCTCTGGCTCAATGCCTCAATGTGAGCACCTTGGGGGCCAACTACTGGGGCCAACTATGAGCCCCAAAATTGGGGCCATAGAGCCTATACTACTAGAACTCTACGACTAAGGCAAGATGAACCCTAAACCCTTTTAGGGTTCAGACCTCGTGCCCCAAGGCAGATCAAGTGCAACGCAAGCGTCCTCATCCCCAACGTCGAGCACACGTGTACCTTGGGGACGAAATGAACCCTAAAATTGGGGGTCATGTTCCCTGACTACTAGAATTCCAAATTAAGGAACTCTGAACCATAAACCCTTTTAGGGTTCATTTCGTCCCCAAGGTAGCGAGGTGCTCTCCGGGGGTTCATGCTTCGCCTTCTGCAGTGAGGGCTACCAGATGCAGTCGAACCTTGGGGGGACTAAATGAACCCCAAAGAGGGTTAAGAGCTCATATGTGCCCTTACGGGTTTAATCATGGTTCATATTACCTTGATGGGAATTTTAGAGGTAGAGGGTACATGACCCCTATTTTAGGGCTCCTAATGGGTCCCCAAGGAGTAAGGCTTCAGAGGAGTGGAGATGCGCACATTCAGACAGCGGCCTCAGTGCAGTGAGCACTGTGCCGATCCTCGGTGGCCAATTACGAACCCTAGAATTGGGGTCGTGTGCCCTATACTGCTGCAATTCCTACTAAGGTACATGAACCAGAAACCCTAAGCCCTAAGCCCTAAGCCCTAAGCCCTAAGCCCTAAGCCCTAAGCCCTAAGCCCTAAGCCCTAAGCCCTAAGCCCTAAGCCCTAAGCCCTAACCCTAAACCCTAAACCCCCTAAACCCCCTAAACCCTAAACCCTCAACCCCTTCTAGGGGTCATCCTTTGTCCCCCCAAGGATGGTGGAGGGCTACACCCTGCGGGGCCTCGCACCCGTCTGCAGGCCTCTTGCCTGCCTCTACAAGATGCCCAGCGGCTCTGCGGCTCGGCTGTTCAGCATTATACTTTGGGTTAGGAGTTTAGGGGTTAGGGTTTAGGGTTTAGGGGTTAGGAGTTTAGGGTTTAGGGTTTAGGGTTTAGAGTTTAGAGTTTAGAGTTTAGGGTGTGACTTTTGGGGTTCTGGGTTCCCTATAGCAAGTAAGTAGCCCTAGAAGTATGTACTGTCTTTTTTCTGGGTCACTTCAAAGCCTAAGGAGTATGAGCACAACTGCGAGAACATCGGCACCAACTCCAGCTGCAACGTGACTTGTGCCGAGGGCTTCGAGGGAGGTGGGCGCCTTGGTGGCCAATTATGAACCTGTGTTTTTTTTTGGGGGGGTGGGCGGGGGTTCATATACACCGGGGGGGGGGGGGTCATATACACCCTATGCTACTATAATTCCTACCAAGGTAACCCTAAACCCTAAACCCTGAGCCATTAACACCCTTTTGGGGTTCAAGATTCGCCCCCCAAGGCAAGAGACCTGGACATGTCTTCCGGACCGCTCCTTTGCCGGAAACCTTCCAACCTGTTTCTAGGTATCGATTTGGGATGATCCGTTTCCTTCCCTTGTCGTTTAATATCAGGATCCCCTAATGTTAAATGATTTTGGGGACTGTTGAACTCGACACCTAGGTTTGGAGATTACAAGCACTGCCACCACTTCGGTTACGTCCACGGTCACCTCGACGTCCGCGACCGCCACCTTCTCGACCACGCACACGGCTACGACCACGACCTTCTGGAACCTTGGGGACTAAATGAACCCCTAAATTGGTTTAGGGTTCATACACCTTAATAGGAATTATCGTAGTCAGGGTATATGACCCCCAATCTTAGGGTTCATAACTCGTCCCCAAGGAATGGCACCGTCTTGATCACCGGCTACTTCGAAATCACGCCGTCCCGCGAAGAACGCAGGCGGCTGAGAGAGAACGATCCTTGGGGACGAATTATGAACCCCAAAAGGGTTTAGGGTTTAGGGTTTAGGGTTTAGGGTTTAGGGTTTAGGGTTTAGGGTATATGACCCCAATTTTAGGGTTCACTTCGTCCCCAAGGATGCCTCAGTGTTGAATAGCGAGTTCATCAACGCCTCGGAGGTTGAAGAAGGGATCGTTCTCGCCATGGCCTCGATTTTGAATGTCAGTACCTTGGGGACAAAATGAACGGTTCATGGTTCATACACCTGAATAGGAATTGCGGTAGTCAGGGTATATGACCCCAATCTTAGTAAGTTCAGAACTGGTGCCCAAGGTAGTGGCGCTGTTCACATCAACCTGACCTTCGCAACAGATGCCGAAACCATGGACGAAGTGGTGAGAGTCTACTACCTTGCTTCCCGTGCATTCCCTACGCCGGGGGAGGCAGACGACTTCACAAACTTTGTGCAGAACAAGCTGAGTTCCATCACGTCGCAGGAGGTGCAAGATGTCCTGAACACCATGCTGGAAAGCACGGGCGCCGTGCTCCGGATTGGCGCGCTACGGTCGATGACTTTGTCCGTGAGTCGCGCGGAAGAGACCCCCACCAAGCTCGACATCCGCAAGGCCCCGGAGGACGAGTCCGGCATCATCTGGTACGTCGGCTTGATTGGCTGCATCTTGGTGATCATGGGCTTGTCGGGCTTGCTCTGGTACTTCATCTACAAGAGTCGTAAGGAGGAGGAGGAGGAGAAGGCCGCGCAGGACCCCGCGAAGAATGACGGCAGCGAGACGACGGTGGTCATCGACGAGCCCGCTGAACCCTCTGAACCCATTGCGGACAACGAGGCGAAGGTCATGGTCCCTTAGGGACGAGATGAACCCTAAAAGGGTTTATGGTTCATATACCTTAATAGGAATTATAGTAGTCAGGGTAGATGACCCCCCCAATTTTAGGGTTCATTTCGTCCCCCAAGGTCATGGTCAAAGATCAGCCCGCTGAAGCCGAAGGCTTGCGACAGGCAGGTGCTGACCCAGCCACCGAGCTCGAGCTCCAGCCCTTCTCCGAGGACCCCACGGACGAGCCGATGCAAGTCCGGGAGATATGAGACGCTGTGCTTCTGACGCGTGCGTACCAATCCATAAAGACACCTTGGGCACGAAATGAACCCCAAAATTGGGGTCATATACCCTGATTACTACAATTCCTATGAAGGTGTATGAACCATAAACCCTTTTGGGGTTCATTTAGTCCCCAAGGAATTCTGAGTTTCAAGATGTAGTATGAACTTGTTGACTGCACGACGTGAAGTTCGCAGGATTGTTGTCTTGCAGTGCGTGAAGCCTTTTTTTGCCCGAACGCGGCTGGGCGATCAAAAGAAAACTTCATCAAGGAAGGCCCGGTTTAGGGGTTAGGGTTTAGGGCTAGATGCAAAACCTGCGAATCTCCTGACTGTAGTTACAATCGTGATCTCCTGACTTTAAATCTCTGAATCGCAGCCAGAATGCCAAAATGGAGTTTGCAAAGCAACACTCTTGGGCGCTGTCTGAGCAAATCTGGTGCAAAAGCACACATTCCTTCCGAGTCGCACAATGTCTTGCCGCTTTTTACTACTGCACATGTCGATTTTCGGGTTATACGTTCTAGATCGCAAGACAACACGAGTAAACCGATCCCTGACGAAGGTTCGTCAAGACCCTCGCCTGCGTCGAAACCGCCCCCCCCTCTCCCCCCTTCGTCGAACCCCCGCCCCCCCCCCGGTCGAATCTACGTCGAACCTTCGTCTCCTCGGCCTTCGAGCTGCGGGTGTTCCCAGGTCTCTTCGCCTTGGGGACGAAATGAACCCCAAAATTGGCGTCATAGTTCCTGACTACTACAAATCCGATTAAGGTGCATGAACCATAAACCCTTTTAGGGTTCATTTCGTCCCCAAGGAGAGAGTTTACCAGGCGATCCTGCGCACCGGCCATCAATTTTCTTTTGAATTGGTTGGTCACGTTCCTGGCCATGATGTCGACGTTCAAGATGATCCTTTCTTTCGGATAGGAGTAGAATTTCTGCATGGTGATAAGTCACTGTGCCTGGAGGCACTCGGCATGTCCTTCAAGTGATGTAACTTTCGGCGCCAAGGCAAAAGCAAGCATGGTGAGGATGACTGGGATAGGGGGATAGGGGATGGCAGTTCAATGCCTTCAAGCCCTTCATGGTCTCACAAGATATCACTCTACTTGCGAAGCACATTGCTTACCAGCTTCTTATCGCAAACTTGCATGTCGCATGGTGAGAGAACTGCAGGAGCCCAGCACTGCAGCTGCTGATACCTGGGTGCGCCTGGGGAGCTTGCGTTGTTGCATGTTTTGGTAGTGCTCACTGATGCTCAACGTTATTTCACAAGGATGTTTTCGGTTGAGAAACAGAGTCGCCGTGTGTGCGTGTGCGTGTGTCCGTGTGTCCGTGTGTCCGTGTGTCCGTGTGTCCGTGTGTGTGTCCGTGTGTCCGTGTGTCCGTGTGTCCGGGTGTGTGTGGTCCGTGTGTGTGTGTGGTGTGTGTGTGTGTGTGTGTGTTGTGTGTGTTTGTTGGTGTGTGTTGTGGGTGTGTGTGTGTGTGTGTTGTGTGTGTTGTGTGTGTGTTGTGTGTGTGTGTGTGTGTGTGTGTGTGTGTGTGTGTGTGTGTGTGTGTGTGTGTGTGTGTGTGTGTGTGTGTGTGTGTGTGTGTGTGTGTGTGTGTGTGTGTGTGTTGTGTGTGTGTGTGTGTGTGTGTGGTGGTGTGTGTGTGGTGTGTGTGGTGTGGTGGGTGTGTGGTGTGTGGGTGTGGGTGTGTGGGTGTGTGGGTGTGGTGGGTGTGTGGGGTGTGGGTGTGTGGGTGTGTGGGTGTGGTGGGTGTGTGTGGGTGTGGGGTGTGGTGGGTGTGGGGGTGTGTGGGTGTGTGGGGGTGTGTGGGTGTGTGGGGGTGTGTGGGTGTGTGGGGGTCTGTGGGTGTGTGGGGGTGTGTGGGTGTCTGTGGGTGTGTGGGGGTCTGTGGGTGTGTGGGTGTCTGTGGGTGGAGGTGTGTGTCTGTGGGTGGAGGTGGGTGTCTGTGGGTGGAGGTGTGTGTCTGTGGGTGGAGGTGTGTGTCTGTGGGTGGAGGTGTGTGTCTGTGGGTGGAGGTGTGTGTCTGTGGGTGGGTGTGTGTGTCTGTGGGTGGAGGTGTGTGTCTGTGGGTGGAGGTGTGTGTCTGTGGGTGGGTGTGTGTCTGTGCGTGTGTCTGTGGGTGTGTGCGTGTGTCTGTGGGTGTGTGTGTGTGTGTGTGTGTGTGGGTGTGCGTGTGTCTGTGGGTGTGTGTGTGTGTGTGTGTCTGTGGGTGTGTGTCTGTGTGTCTGTGCGTGTGTCTGTGTGTCTGTGTGTGTGTGTGTGTCTGTGTCTGTGTCTGTGTGTGTGTGGGTGTGTGGGTGAGTGAGTGTGTGTGTGTGTGGGTGTGTGGGTGAGTGTGCGTGTGTGTGTGGGTGTGTGTGCGTGTGTGTGTGTG